ACTTAGTTATTTTGCTATTAGATATTGTTTCATTCAATGACAAGCACTATACACTAATAAACTGTCTTACCTTTGATCCTTTTTCTAGCTTAACTTAAAACTTAAATTTTCTAGCCTGACTTAAAATCTGCCTATTTGATGCCTCAGAAAATTTCTGTTTCTGATCCCCAAAACTTAAAACACTGAAGAGAAATGTTAATAAGGATTTTGAAAAAGAGATTAGAAATGACTTCATCATTTCTCATAGTGAAGCTTACAGAAATTGGATATATACATAGACACACAAAGTTGTAAGAAAATGGAGATTATTAGTTTCAGAGAACACCAGTCGCTCAGAAGTAAAGACCTAATTTTACAGTTCATGTAAGTGTAGCTAATTGATTGAAGATACTATAAAGTATATTATAAATTATAAAAGCGTACAGAGATGTAGTTATTTAAAATTTAAGTTTAATGGGATTTTTCAGAATAGGAGACCTAAGCCCTGTTGGTAGGATTGTCATGAAAACTTACCTCATTTTCTGGTTTGGTGAAAAGATAAATGCCAGCATGTCTAACCTTACTACATATAAAGACTGTCTGGAATCTAGAATAATATTGCTATTTCTCCCTTCAAAAAATGATAGTCCTTATTAGAAAGAGATCTAATACCTATTCAACTGAAGATGGTTTTTTTCTGCAAAATAAAAAAATCACAAGGCTAATAGATTTAGTCAGTATAGACTATTTTGTCCATATAAAATTCAAATTATACTTAGATTTGTGATTTCACCTTTCATTTCCCTGTGTTTTCACCCAGAGTTGGAATTAGTTTTTTTATTTTTTTATTGTTGAGCTTAATTTTTTTGTATATTTTGGATACCAATATTTTGTGAGATACATATTTTGAAAATGTTTACCTTATTTATGTTTTCATTTTCTTAACTGCTTGTACTTTTAAACAGCTTTCATCTTCTACGAAAATCCCCACGGTGATTTTCCCATGTTGTGCTCTTGGGGATGTAAAGTTCTCCCTCTCTTTGACATTGGGATGATATTTTTATATTTATTAATGTTTTCTTTCAGATTTCCAGGTATCTAGCCTTGTCTATATTCTTTCTGAGAAAGCTCTCTTGAGTGGGGAGGGGAAAAAAATATAAAGAATTCCCATTCAATTCTAACATTCAAGTTTGTATTTTTGACTACTCAGCAAGAGAATTAGCTTGGAAATCAGGTATGTTCAAAGATAAAACACTTTCTTAAATTATTTCCTTATACCCTTTACTATGTTCTAAGGAGGGCTTGCTGGACTTGATATGGAGTTTTTATGTAAGGGAACTGGAATAGGAAGGTACAGGTCAGACAGAAAGTTCAGTTTCATTGGTGCCAAGAGGCTGATAGAATCCGAGCAAGGAATGAGATGCGTGGACGCTTTTCCTTTCCTTTCTTTGCTAAAGGCAGACAGGACAGTCAGGGGTGAGTAGAGGTTAGAAATATTTAGACAAACATGGAATCACCAGACTGTTGGAATAGTGGCACTCTTCCCAGAAGACCAGTTGGGACAACCCGCATCTAACTAACTACTCACCAGCTATAGACCAGAGCTGTCACTCAGCTACATGGACCACAGCGTCCACAGGCAGAGTGTGAATCGAAGGCTTTTGTTCCTCAGCTAACACTCAATTATCTCTTCTTATTACCCACATGCCATCAACGGCAGGATAAGGTGGTAGAACCTTAGATGAAGCATTGAGAGAGTCTGAATCATCCAGGAGACTTTAAATGAGCTTGAATATGGAGCTGAACTTCAAATAGACTGAATTTTTAAACAACTCATTGAAACTTGAAAGGAACTCCTTAAATCTAAAGAAACAGGTATTGTCAATTGTAAATTTCAAAGTCAGTTTCATAACTAAAAATGGGTGGGGTGGTTCATGGGAAAGACTAAATCGGTTAAAGGATTTTTCTTTGCGTGTCTTTATCTTTCGATATGTATCTAAGCGTAACATAAATTTGCTGCCCATATAAATTTCCCTTTTCTTTCTGTCACCCTTTTCTCACCCATTCCACTGAATTCATGCATTATTTCAGATGCCTTTGAAAGAAGTATAGAGCACCACAGAATTCAAACAAAAATAAACAAAAAAAGCAGTGTAAAAGTCAAGAATTAAAAAACAGGATCATAAACTCTGGATTAGTTTGATCTTGCTACTGTATGTAATCAGACACTATTTGTTAAAGCTGCACTGCCACTGGATGTGAACTTCTTAGCAGTCAATGCAAAGAAGGAAAATAATGAGTCCCATGATTTTATCTTGTCCATGTCACAAAAACAAACCACAAGTACTTGTATTAAGCTTTGAGTGTTTGTGCTCATTGTCCTTCCTCGTTCCTGCCTCATTTATTTCTACTTTAATTCTTCTTTTGGTCTCTGTCTCCCTATGATTGCTGTCACTAGGTCCTGAGCATTGTCTTGTATTTCCTGACCTGCCTTATTTCTTCAATGTGTCCTCCAGCCCTCTTCAACACCTCCTCAAAGAGTGTGTTTTAATCAGAATCAATTCTTCTCTGGCTCCTACTGTCCTCAGGGTCCTTCCTTCCTACCTTTAGCTCTCTTTGCTTTTAACAGACATGCAATGAACCATAATTTATAGCATGGGAGGATCTGTATGAGCTGGATAAATAAAACTTTATAGACAACTTGAAATGCTCAAGATTAGACCCAAATGTTTATGTGACTTAGAATGACTCTGCGCTGACTTAAGGATTTTTTTTTTTTGTTGCCTTTGAGCTTTTTCTGAAGTCTTACATTTAGAATACAAGGTCAGGTTTGGTTTAGCAAGTTATATCAAGCTGTCTTTTCTTTCATTCTTCAGCTACAGCTTACCAAATGTACAATTTAACACATGCCTCAGTGAAACTTACCATTAAAGATCTTTATTCATCTTTTTATCTGCTGATAAACACATCAACATCATCTTGAATAACTGCCCATGTTGAATTTCTGGTCAAAAGAGCTTCTACATCTTTGTGGAACAATTATACACACTGCGTTTGGCTTACTCTGTTGAAATGTAAATTTTGGCAATTAAAAAACCTATTTTACAGGAATTAATATGTGGATTTACCACTACTTTTGAACAGTAAAGGAGTTTGAAGGGAAATTAATAGTGTTGGGGTCATGTGTTATTTCGCCTATGTATTATTCCTCTCTTAATAGCATCTTGGCTTTGCCTTGGGGAAAAATTTCCTCCTGTTTGCCAGATCTGAACAAGTCAGTCCAAGCCAAGTCAGGCACAGGATGTTTTCTGGAATGACTGGGAAAGAAGCCTGCTCCTTCTGATAGAGTGAAGGTGAAAAACTTCAGAAAAAGCTCAAAGGCAACAAACACAGAGAAGTCAGGGCAGTCATCTAAGTCACATGAACTATTTAGGTCTCATCTTGAGCATTTCAAGTTGTCTATGAAGTTTTATTTATCCAGCTCATACAGATTCTCCCATGCTGTAAATTATGGTTCATTGAATGTCTGTTAAAAACAAAGAGAGCTAAAGGTAGGAAGGAAGGACCCTGTGGGCAATAGGAGCAGGAGAAGAATTGATTTTGATTAAAACACACCCTTTGAGGAGGTGTTGAAGAGGGCTGGAGGACACATTGAAGAAAAAAGGCAGGTCAGGACATACAAGACAATGCTCAGGACCTAGTGACAGCAATCACAGGGAGACAGAGACCATCAGGAAAGTTGGCAAAAGCAACATAGAAACTCAAAGATGAAGCATTAAAGTAGAAACACAAAGGGGCAGGAATGGGAAGGTGAATGCTGTGAGTTACCAGCTGTGCTTCTACCTCCAGTTTGGGCACCAAATCCCTGTGCTAAAACTAAGGGTGGCGGGGTTTTCTACGAATGCTCACTTTCAGGTATTATTTTGCAATATGGCTTTGGTTTACCTGGGCCTCTCCAAGTCCAGTAACTCAAATGAGTTCAAACACTCATTTGAACATAGCTCCAACCTGAGACTTAACGACTTCAGCCACCAAGGATCTTATGCATTCTCTGCCACTGACTCGAAGTGTGTGAGTAAAACGCTCCATGAGGGATCTTAAAAGTAAAGATATGTATTGGGGGACTTGTGGACATAAAAGGAAGGGTGGCATCATTTTTCCCATTTTTTTTTTTCATTTCCCCTTAACATAAGCAAGATAAGAGTCCTCTCTCTAGGTCCAGACCCCCACCCCCACCTCAGTTTCTCAGGCTATGTGCGGTGGTGACTCTGGTGATGGCAGTTTCTTGGCACCCTCTTTGGGTCTCATTGTTCTAGATAGTCCACCTCCGCCCAAGTCGCCTCATCAGGAGCAGCTCTAGCGTTACCAGAAACTGAGCTTTGTTTTTTCCTTAATCATTTGCTGATGAGCACCAGCAGCACATGACACCTATGTGACATTTGTTCTCTTTGCTTCTCTTAGGTCAGACAGACACATGTTGCTTTAAGGAAGTTTAAAAAATACAGATGAACTGATAGATAAATTGGGAAAGAGTGATACAGACATCTAGTTTTACCTACTGTTTTGTAATTACAAATGAGGTGTGCCCCCGACCTTCTCCAAACCCAGCAACAGCATATTTTTACTGTGTGTCTGAATCCTAAACAAAGTTGAGTAGGGAAAAATAAAGAAAAAATAAGATGTGGAAGGGTAAGAAATCTAATATTGGTGTATTGACATTAGCAGGATTGTGGAACATGTTAAATGAAATAAATACATGTGAAGGGACTTTGTAAAGCTACAAAGCATGTGTACTCTCATTATTACTATTTTTATTACTATTTTGAGGATTACAGCTGATAGGCATCCTTTCTGTGTTGCCTACAGTCAAGTAAAATAGTACACTTTTTCTCCAAAGAAGTCAATCATTTTCTATGTTTCTGTGACCCCACCCAACCCCCATCCCCAACCTCAGCCCAGATGCTGAGGTGTCTGAGGTTTGTGTAAGCCTCTCCCCTGAGCTCATCTCACTGTGCCCTCACGAAAGCACAGAAATACATCGCAGCATCCTCCAGTTGGGAGTCTGAGATCTTGAGACGGAAGGATTTATTGTCTTTCTGGAAGTTCACAGAGAAGCGGTTATTGGTTGCGTTCTGTAGCTTAAAAGATTCTTGGCGAATAAGGAAAATCATCTCCCCGCTGGGAGGCTGTTTGTACCAGAACAAATAGTAACTACTATCACTGGTATCATATGTGCAGTTCAGGGTCACACTCTCTGCCTCCTGCACTGACATTTCTGGTTGAGGTTGGGTGACGGTCTGGGCCATGGTGGACCCTGTGGAAAGAAGAGAGAGAGGAGCACGTGGGTGTCACAGCAGAGACACCAAGCAGGCAGACTCCCTAGCTGGTTCCCCTCCCCAACCAACTTTCCTATTCTTTTTTTTTTTTTTAATTTTTTTTTTTTTAATAGAGGCATGTTTTTTTTTCTTTATTTATTTGTTTGCTTGTTTGTTTGTTTTGTTTATACATGCACTGGGTACAGTCAGAAGCGCGGGAGGGTGAGAGAATTCACCAGAGCCAGAGCGGGGAGCAGAGCAGGCAGAAGGACCGAAGTACACTGCTGAGGGGAGCAGCGGGCGACAGGAGAGGTCTGCGCGCCATGTGGGACCCTCCTCCGGTGGCCGGGGAGCAGCCGGGGATTGAACCGGCGCCGCAGAGGCCGCGGGCAGCTTCGCAACCCAGCGCTCTACCGCTGCGCCACCGGGGAGGCCCTAACTTTCCTATTCTTGATCCAAATTTTGCAACATTCATCTTGCCCCTAATAGCTGGAACCAAAGAGGAGGTAAGATTCTTGTGTTGTTAATTTTTTTCCCATCTCCCCATCCAACTGGATACTAATAAAAGCAAGTACTTGTGCCTCCCTTACCAAGACAGGTGAAGATTGTGAATGTCCACAGCAACCTGGGGCAAGCCATGCGTGCAGCTCTCCTGTGGGGGGAAAGGGAACACTTGTTCTGATCTGAAACCTGGGCATCAACTGAACTTGGTGACACTGCTTCAGAACAGGAAATGGTATGTCAAGTGGGTCACTGAGCATGTCTCACTTTAAAGTCATTTGAAAGTTGCTAAGGAAGTAGATCTTAGTAGGTGTCATCACAAGAAAAAAATCTGTAACTCTGTATAACAATGGATGTTAACTAGAGTTATTGTGATGATAGTTCCACAATATATGCAAGTATCAAATCACTATCTTGTACACTCAAACTAATATGTCAATTATATCTCATAAATGCCTTATAATTTTCTTAAAAATAGTTTATCAATATTTTCTATCTTTCATCAGAAAATAAAACTTTGGGGGGTATAATATCAAATGAAATAAGATGGCTTTTTTATAATCTATTCAAGTTGGAAATGAAGGGGAGAAGAAGCTGGTCAATTATTTTTGTAAAGACAGAATCTTAGAGAGGAGAATGGGACAGGTGGGGAAAAGAGGCAAAGTCGACTTTATAACTTGCATTTTCTCTATGAGCTTCTCCTCCTCTCTCCCTACTTTTCTCCCTTCCTCCCTCCCTCCCTTCTTTCTTTTCTTTTGAAGTCACGGTCTCTGGGTTGCTATAACATAGTTATATTATTCTTTGACCCAAACTGTATTTTAATCATTTCTCAGAACTTCAACATAATGATAATGACAGCAACACTCTGATAGTCTGGAGAAAATCAGAACGAGGATTTTGGTGTCTAATCGCATCCTCTGTGCTTGAATAGCTGTCTGTGGCTGTGTCTGGGAACGCTACAACTGCACAATATTCACAATACCTGGGGCAAATTTTTCTGTAAGGACTTTTGTGTGCATCTATTCATGACTTTTTGAATGAAGAATCAGAACAATTAATATAAAATTTATTTGGGAACATTCTGTGTTGCACATCTGACAGCTTTTCATTGACATTTCATTTTTCCTCACGTATGCATTTCCCTAAGAGAGAAGAAAGGTCAGGAATTACAGCCCTCATTTTCTAGAAGAGGCAACTGAACAACAATGAAAACTCACAATGCATTTGCATTAATTTTCTCTTCCTACTGAGTTGGTGTCATCCAATCTTAGATAAGGCCATCTCTGTGGTCCAGCTTTATATAAACTTTTTTTCCCTCTGCATAAATCAAGAAGGAGAAGAAAAGACTAAATTAAAAGCTGACTTGCTGTACAGGTGGGAGTGGCCTAAACTCTCCTAACCTGTTCATTATTTCCATGTGGAAAGTGTTACCAACTGGGCATTTCCAAATCCTGCTGAAACATCTGAGGTCTCACTGTCATGGTTGGCACTGTCCTGAAGCCACAGGAAGCTCTAGCTATGTAGATGAGGGAAGGGATGCAGCTTGTGGTGCAGGTGGCAAATATGGGCTGCTTTGTTAGCAATACTTTTGCAATAAAAATGACTTTCATGGGAATCTTTAAAAAAAAAAAAGAACAGGCAGACTGACTGAAATATACTGCTGAGGGGAGCAGTGGGCGAGACAGGAGAGGTCTGCTGCGCCATGTGGGTCACCTCGCTGGCCGGGGATCAAACTTGCGCTGCAGTGGCTGTGGATTGCTTCATAGGTTGCATCTTAACCCCTTGCGTCAACAGGGAGGCCCCCAAAATATTATAACTTTAAAATTTCTCTCTTTCACTTTTTATAGGAAACAAGATGATTGGGTTGTCTTTTCTTCTAATCTCAGTCCAGTTGAAATTACAAGTTCACCTGCGAGGCTCCGTGGAGTTCATGTTTTCTGGCTTTGTTCACTGTTTTTGTAGTGAGGATTGGGAACCCCAAGCTGTAGAGTCCACCTGCCCTTCAGGTCTTTTGCTGGTCCTCTGAGTCCAGCCAATCACATCTGTCACCTGATCAGTCCCTCGTTTCCATAGATATAGCTAATCATGCTGTTGACTTCTGAGGGAGGGTCAAATGAGAGGATGTCATGAAAGAATTTTCAAGTAGACAAATATCAGATTGGGCAGAAAGCTGTCTTTTTCTTTTAAAAACTATATTTTATGTCCAGATGATCATTGTTTTTCTTTTTGGTGTTTCTGTTTGTTGACTTCACCTAAGAACAGTTCATCAAGCTGGGTCATTTAGGAAGTCCATAGAAAGTGGTGAGCAAAGTCAGATTGTAGGACATTTAGTCAAAAATAAGGATGAAGGAGAAAGGAAAAGTTTATAAACAAAAACTTCCCTTCCGGGCAGCCTGAGACATCTCAGTGTTCTCCCGCGGGAAACCAGCAGTGTCTGGCAACTGCTGTTCTGGGATTTCTCATAGGAGTTAGCTAGTTAGACTATAAAAAGTAAATAGCAGGAGAAAAATAAGTGAACATCACATGCCCACTCCCATGTTCTCATGGGAGAACTTTTATAGAGGCAGAAACTGAGGCACTTCGACAATTAATCACACCAGAGGGAAAGCTGCTCCTCTGTCAGCACATTCCCTGCTATTTGGGTGAAGAAAACAGACTCCCCATCCTAATCAGCTCAGCCATCTTCTGCTGAGTGCCCTCTCAATTCCTTATCTGAAAACACAGTGAAGGAAACACTTGTAAGACTTTTTTTTTTAAGTCTCTATTTATATTCATGATATTTATCTACAATTTTCTTTTGTCAGAGGTGATGGGGTTTGTCCACCACCTCCTGATTGGTGGTTCCAGTAAAAGGAGAGGAGCCCAGCGCATTTAGGGGCTTCCTAGAGAGCAAGGGTTTACCTCCGTGGAGAAGGAAACTGCTAATTGTCCCTTGGGTTCAAAAGTCCTTTTAAACCAGAACAGAAACAAAAGCACCACAAGGGTCATTCTACAGCCTACCCATCCTGCACCTGAGGATCTGAAATACTGTTCAAATAATTATAGTAAATAATAAAATTCTTCTTGGATCATTAGTTAGGAGGGACTTTCCTTTTTCTTCATTTGATGGTTAATTTTCTTAGAAAAAGATAATATTAAAAAGTGGATTTAAACATTTATTTGTTCATTGAATCATTTTTATAAAATGGGTCCCAGTTCTCAGAATCTTCTGGGTCCTCTGGTTTCCTGATGACACAGATGCTCCCTGCTCACACCCTGACTTGAAGCCACCAAATCACACATGTGACTCTTAACAGCTCCGGGGGGCTGTGGCCTTCCCAAGCCCGTGGTGGATTTGATTCCAGCATGTGGAAATATGACCTAGACTCTTTATATAGAGGAGGGTTTGTTCATTTCTTTTCTATGTAGTAGGGACATAACAGATTCTTAAACATGAAAGAGGGTTTTGCAAGTAACAGTTGCCAACAAACGTAAGCAGTGCCCTCTTCAGGTTAAAGAAATAATTACTGAGGAATTCCTCTTTTCTACACAGAGGAGCTTGATTTAGTTAAGAAATCTGTTCTGGAAGTAATTTGTTCCTATGAATTTCTGATTTCTATTTTTCCTCAATAGAAAAGCCTTGATATTTAAAATATATCCCATTCTCCTTATCACTGCTTTACCTTCTCAAAGAAACCTCCTGTGATTACCCTAGAACATACTGATTCTCCCAGCCCCTTAATATTTTTTCATAAATATAAAAGGATTATAAAGTAAGCCTAAAGCAATTTGAGCTTTATTGAATGCTTATTATGTGCCTACCACTGTGCCAAGAACACCAGGATGGCTCAACTTCACAGGCCAAGTTCTGTCCCTGAGAGGGTCATCTCTTTGGTGAGTTCCCTGAAACAACAACAAATGCTTAAAAAAGGTAAATAAGAGTCAATTTTTTTGGCTTGGATTTAGCACTGTATGGCTTTAGAAAAGAAGGAATTCAAGGAAGAACTCTTGGAGGAGAAAAAGCTTTTAAGGAGACCCTACAGCATTTGACCAGCCTGAAATGTACATAGAAGGGACATCTGGGTGAATGGGACAACCAGAAAATCAAAAGTTTGAAGGGTTTATGGGTCAATTAGGAGAGTTAACTGACTGCCATAAGCTTATAGGAAGGGAAACACAAACTCTAAAAATGGGCTGAAGGATGTGATATGATGAGTTTCTTGTACTTCCCATGTCTTGATTTCTAAGCTGGTGTCTTAGCTGTGGGTCCACAGCATCATATTTAACAAGGCACAGGTTTGACAAGTATTACTGCATTCTGAAGGCTAGCATTTCAGTCCCTTGGGGCACTGTCCCTGAGCTGGCTTCTCAGCTAAGCCTTTAACAGGCCGTTTCATCATTCCTCCAGGTCATCTGACCTAGGTCATGTTTTTAGACCACTGGGTTTCCTAGCTAGTCATGCCCCCACAGTTACCCCTTTAGGTTCTAACAAGGGTATCTTGTTCAGTTTTGGAGATGGACAGAAAATTAAAATAGCAATGCCAATTAACAAAATGGAAAAGTTTAAGAATCTTGGAGGTGTGAGCTCCCAGGAAAGTAATAAAGAGTCACCGGATAGAGGAAATGCTTAGGAAGTGTCACCTGTCACATACATAGGGTTACATGTAGCAGTATATATAAAGGTGTTTTGTAAAACTGGAAAGCATCACACATGCCATTGTTTTTACTGTTATTTTAAGGATTACACTTGCAGACGTCCATCTCTCTGTGTTTCTTATATTCAGATCGGAGGAATTTTAATTCTATAGTCAATGACTTTCTATGTTCCTGTGACCTCAATGTCCCCCCCACCCGCCGCTTTGGCCCAGATGCTGAGGTGTCTGAGGTTTGTGTAAGCCTCTCCCCTGAACTCATCTCACTGTGCCCTCATGAAAGCACAGAAATACATCGCAGCATCCTCCAGTTGGGAGTCTGAGATCTTGAGACGGAAGGATTTATTGTCTTTCTGGAAGTTCACAGAGAAGCGGTTATTGGTTGCGTTCTGTAGCTTATAAGACTCTTGGCGAATAAGGAGAATCATCTCCCCACTGGGAGGCTGTTTGTACCAGAACAAATAGTAAGTACTCTCACTGGTATCGTATGTGCAGTTCAGGGTCACACTCTCTGCCTCCTGCACTGACATTTCTGGTTGAGGTTGGGTGACGGTCTGGGCCATGGTGGACCCTGTGGAAAGAAGAGAGAGAGGAGCACGTGGGTGTCACAGCAGAGACACCAAGCAGGCAGACTCCCCAGCTGGTTCCCCTCCCCAACCAACTTTCCTCTTCTTGATCCCTAATCCAGGCAGGGTGTACCAGCGTTCGGCCTCCCCACAGCTGAAGTCTCTGCGACAGTGCAGTCCCCATGCCTGCAGTCCTCTCTCTTGTTCCCCAGCCCCTTTAGATAACATTATACATACACTCCTGAAACCTTCCTTACCAACACAGGTGGAGACCACGGCTGCCCACAGCAAGCCCACAAGTGTCATGCCGACAGCTGACTGAGCCGAGTGAGAGTCTTGCCCTGATCTGCGTTCTCTTCTGTGCTTGGTGACGCTTCTACTTCGGCACAGGAAGTCGTGTGACAGGCGGGTGGCTGATTCTATCTCACTTAAAAAAGTTTTCTCAAGACCTTTTGGTTTCTCTTAGTAAATCGGATGTTTGTTATAATTTCAAATGAAAGTGAAAGGTGTTTTATGAATTCTTTTACTCTAGGGTGAAAATACAGAGGAAGATGGGGGGCAGGCCCAAGATGCGTCACCTCCTCCCATGATCATACCAAGCTTGAAGCCAACAAGGGACTAATCTACATGGAAATGACCTGGAGGGCTACAGCTTCCACAGTGAAGGATAAAAAGGCATCACTGAATGGGTAGGGAAGCAGAGGGACACTCTGGCCAAGGAAGAAACCCCACCAGGGCGCAATGGGATTCAATCAGTACAGCATCCCTCAGGTACAGAACTTTTCCCTGGAAAGTTGGGGCCTGGAGGACACTGACTCTGGACAGTTAGCCACATTGACAGAACAGAGGTTCTGACATGCCCAGTGCAGAGGATCTCTTGACACCTCTGCGGAACCAGAGAGAAGCAAGCACGGGAAAGCTGAGGAAAGGTTAGAGACTAAGAACTAGCCAGAACTGGCTCACAAGCAGACTCATTTGCCAAAAGTAGTAACACTGATCTGACCAGCACGCAACCTATAAGTGAGGGAATCCCAGATACTATCCTTACATTGTCGACCTGAGAGGCCAGGAAAAACAGTGAATAATCTGGGGCCATCTTGGAAACTTCTTGCAACCTTGCTGGTTATGGCATGGATGGGTGCCATCTGGGAAGCCACTCTCTATACTAATAGAGCCTGAGAGAAGTCTTGATGAGAGCTTCACCCTCCGGCAGGAAGTAGCCAGGCTAGCTGGGGGCTGAGAAACAATAGCCACAAGGGTCCCAAAATAATAATACTGATGTAACCAGGATCCAACCTGTAGGTGAGGGAATCTCAGATACTATCCTTACATTGTGGACCTGAGAGGCCAGGCAGGCTATCAGGCCCAGCCCCTGCTAATCATCAATTGCATGCTAGTGAGCAAGTCTCACCTCTGCAGTCACCTAGCACCTCAAGGTCCTCCCAAAGGATGACTAGCTAGTAAGGGGACCCCAGTGCAGATGCCTAAACTCTCCCGACAGCCCAAATTCTGATATACCCTAACCCCTGACAACCAGTATGTATGCTCTATGCCCAGCAAGGTCCTAGCTTATTGTGAAGTCAGCTGGGTGAGTGCCAGCCACCCCACCAACCACCAGCTCCTTTGTTGTGCTGGGTGAGCACTAGCAACCAACTGCTGTGCCATCAGTGGTCCTACACCTTTAGCACAGAGGGGCCCTGGCTATCCAAGCCCGTGCCTGCTGTCAGCACTGGGGGCTCCAGTCCCCAGAGCGTGAAACTGCAGGCCATTGGGCCCCAGCCCTGTAAGCTGGCAGCAAGACCTTGGTTGAGTAGCCCCAGCCACATGTCTGGCTCGTGCAGAACCTCTATTCTGTCAACGTGGCTAACTGTCCAGGGGCTATTGTTCATGCACAGAAATGGACGAGGGCAGAAGCTGCTGCCACCTCTGGAAGGGTCATGTCGCTTACCTGGCAGGTCCCCTCTAGTGGGTGCTCTCCAGTGGGTGCTCCTGATGGGGACTACCTGAGCAGTCTGCAGCTGCGCTCACTGCTCCGTTACTTCATGATTATCCCTGAATGTAACGTACCTCTTCCCACCCCACTTGCTCAGGGTTCTGACCCTAGAAAAGATCAGGATGCTGGGCATCAAGACCCCTTGTTCACACTCTTTGGTCACACTCTTTTGACTCCTCTTCTCCAGCCAGCTCCTTGGACTTTCTCACCTTTCAAGGTGGAACTGGATTTTCCACTATATTGTGTTCTCTTTTCACACTTATAAACTTTATACCATTTCCCCTTACATGTTATTTCTTGATCTTCTAGTCTTTTCAGAATGTCAAAGTATATTTTCTATCGCTATTGAATTTGATGGTCATGGCTTTTAAGATTGTGCATTTTCGATATATTTGTAAAAGTCTACAAAGGAGCTGAAAGGCAAGAATTTTACCCTGATGTTTCTTTGTTCTTTAGTTCTTTCTCTCTCCTTTCTGATATCAGCCTCAGGTTTGGGGAATGGTTTTAACCCAGGAAGAGCTTCACACTGAGAAACAAAATACATTAGAAGGCACCTGAAAACAGAATCCCCCTGTGCTTGGTCTTCAAATGAAACATTTGATATTATTTTATAAAATGCCCTCATGTTTTCCTCTGCTCAGAGCAAAGTTAAGGGAAGTGCCCTGCAGCCCTGAAGGACAGAGGGTTTCCAGCAGGGGTCCCAGCCCGCTGGCAGCGTGATGGATGCGCACACCAACATGGTGGCATCCTGGAGCCAGGACTCTTTCACCTGCAAGGAAAAGTGCTGGTCTCCCGGGTTAAGCCTGCCTGCAAGCCGTCCACTATCTTCTCTTTCACATTCGGTATCATTTGTATGAGGGAGCAGAGGCCTTTCTCAGGGTCCCGCCTAAACCACTGGGAGAAGTTGAAATTGCTGTCTCTGTAACTGCTGCTCAGTGTGAAGCTCTCGCCTTCCTGGACTCTCAGAGAAGGAGGACTCTGCTGCCCACTGGACCCTGTTCAGGAGGAGGGAGATGATTTTCATATACAAGAATCATTTTTTAAAGACAATTTTCTGTATTTGTTTTGCATTCCTTAGAATAAGCCCCAGATTGTCCCTGGGGCCCCTCTAAAATTTATTGTCAGAGTCACCCTTGTCCCCTCGCGTGGCTCTTCCTCTCCTGCCTGCCTCACTCACAGAACAGCTGTACACACAGGCCACCAGCACAGCTCATGGGGACGACTCGATTCTTGCTTCTCCCTGGGGTCTCTGAGGATTCAGCTGAGGCCTGGGATTTGACCATGTCCAATAAATCCAGTTCCCTGTGTAGAGTCTTCTGTTTCTCTTGATTTGGAAGCCCCGGTGATCCCCGTTCTGTTTTTATAACCTATCAAAAATCTCACTTGTCGCAGTCAGCACGTCGTTGAATACAGTCTCTCTGTTCCCAGTCATCCTGTTCTAGTTTCCAGCCTGTCACTTCTGTTGGTGGAAGCACTGCCCCCATGTGGCCTGATTTTTATTGACTTTTTTTTTTTTTCATTTTCCCCTTTATATAAAGGAATTCCTTATGTTAAATTGGAACAGAGGCGAACAACAAACAAAAAAGAAAGAAAACAAAATGGCCTCAAAATGTTCTCCAGTGATAACCGGATATCCGCAGCACCTGCAGCTCCCTCCTCGCTCTCCTTACCTTATGCAGGAGTCTGAGCAGGTGCTTGCCTGTTGGCCTCCATGCTACCTGCTGAGGGGAGACCTGATTCTCCCCCTCAAAGTCCACCTTGCCTTTGTTGTACCTCTTAATCTAAACAGTTTCAAATGAGTGAGAAGAGTTAGACCTTTTCCAATTTTTCTCTACAAAATAATGGAGGGAAATATACTTTCTTTTAGCATGTTCTCGTTGTGAGAAAGCAACATGATATCTGATTGACTCTGAAAATGCTAGCATCGTTGCAAAAATCTAAATGTTTTTTATATTTAGATATGGATAACTGTCCATGCTGTAATTCCTCCTATGTCACATATTAGTCATCTGAAACCTGTTTTATCACCTCCTGTATTTAAAGCAGAGGTTAAAGACTCAAGGAGAGGAGGGGTTAAGGGGGAAAGTTTTCTGTGTTTGTGTTCAGTCCTCCCCTGCTGGTTCCAGGCACCTCCACTCAACCACATGTTCCCAGCTATTCCCTGGCTAAAGTCCACCCTCCCCACCCCTTTATTTCTCCTATGTAGATGAGAGTCTGTGATGAGTAAGAGCTGTGATCTTTTGTGTCAGTTGTGGATCTTAGTCTTATATTCTTTATGTGTGAAATCATGAAAAACAGTGAGACTGCATTTTCTAGAATTTTTTCCTGAAGCACAGTGTAATTGCACTTCAGGTGGGAGTTAGTGCCCCCCTGGAGATGCAGCATCTGAAGAGAACTGTGCACAACTTGCCCCTGTTCTCTATGTCTATGTGAGAGGAAAACAATAGACACGTGGGCAATCACTGGAGCACCTGACTGCTTGTTAATCAGCTCTTTACTGGGACATGATCGTTCTTTTCCCATAGGAGAACTGTCAAATCACAAGTCTGGAACCACAAAAATGTGGCAAAACTTCTAGATATCTTCTCTAAGATGTTCTCTCTGTGGGTGAGGGACACTTAACAGGAATGTCCCCAAAGGTGAGAACTCTAGTATGCAAAAGATAGGGGTGGTTGCAGTTGGTTGGAAGAAGTAACATTTATATGAGAGTTTCCTGGGATTTGCTTCTTCCTGTCTCAGATATGGGGATTTCAGTATTCTAGATGATGAATAATGTTCACAAAAATGATAGACAGGGGTTGTGGCAGGTCAACAATAAATGTGGAGTGACTGCTAACTAGAGTTCCTCAACTTAACCTTGTGGGATATTTAATAAAAGGTACAGAGGGAATCTGCTCCTTACACTGTAGAGAGTAGAAAAATGCATATAAAGTGAACTAACTCTAGGGGGCAGTGTGTGATAAGCATCAGCACTTATTAAATGTAAGCAAATCCAGGAGAAAGTATTTGCAATCAAGAGTGAGTAGCTTAATAACTGCCAAATTTCTAAGAAGAAAAATCATACGACTGCCTCCATCAATCCAGAAAAAGCAGGTAGTGAAATACAATACACATTCATGTTAAAATATTAAAAAAAAAGAATTAATAACTAATTTCTTAACATTAAAACAGTTTGCGTATGCTGCAACCCCACCAGAACCCACTAATGGAGAACTGTTTGAAGCTTTCCTATTAAATTTGGGAGAAAAACAAAGTTATTCCCTTTACCACTATTTAACATCGTGTTGAAGCTACTATCAATAGATAATGCAGTCAGCCCAAAGAAAAACAATTAGAAGCATAAGAATTGGGGAAAAAGATAAAAATTTCTGCATATTTGTGGACAAAGTGATTACATATCAGGAGACCTGAAAAAGAAGAAAAATCATAATCAAAAATCATGACCAAATATATAATATAAACAACAATTGAAAAACAGCATTCCGATGCAAAACATCAACAACAAAAAGTTAAAATGAAAAAATGTGGAAGACCACATTTTCTTTGCATAAAAGCAAAATAGAAAAGGGAAGAAAATTCTTAAATGCAGCTTAATTCTAGGCAGAACGGTCAACCAAATGAAAACGAAAATCATGTCCAATTGCATAAGGTAGTTTACTAAAGACAACATCTCATATCTCTGGGGGAGCGGGATGGTGGAGGGGTTGGAATGACTTCTCATTACATCTAGATATGAGGTTGTTAGTGACATGTGATTGTGATAATGTCTCATTTTAGAACAGCTATTGTACTCTTAAGAGTTATAAGAATTTCCAAGAGTTATGCAGGCACTGATAAATCTAATCTCATTCTCTCAATATACATATACACATATGTATGTATATGTGTATAAATCTATATGTGTATGAATGCATATATATGTATATGTGACTATATTATAGATGATATATTATGGTATATATTTACCTAAAACTCTTCTGCTCCAGACGTGCTTGAGATCCAGGCGTCGTGCCACTTAGTTTCCATTTCCCTTTCATTCTCACCTTTCCCTTAAAAATAAGTA